AGAACACAGGATGTGGTAAGGGAAGCATGAAACCGATAAGATTGTTTGGCAAGTATCTGGTCTCTGGTTACTGGCACAAGTCACTCAAGTGTCACTACTCTTAATAAGTATCCAGCTCTATCCCTCCCTCCAGATGCCTCCCGTACACGCCAACTGCGTACCTTCCCCACACACGTATCAATGGAAGCGTATAGGAGCGACGAACAAAACTGAACCCCTTGCTTTACCAACACAAATACCGGTATAAACATACACACAACACCTGGTACTTCTATGAGCCACAGGAATCTTTTAACACTTGCATGACCCGGATGTGGGTTAGAGCCAGGTGACGCCACGTTTCAGTAATACAACTGTTCCCAACAATACCAGAGCTTTCCTTATTAAAATTACTTTCGGGGCAACATCACAACCACCACCCTCCACCTAATGCAGAGCAGCACATGCAACGAGGAAGAGCAGGCGTGTGACCAAGTGGCTGTGAATGTGATGGGACAGGTGGTGGGTCATGATGGGACGGGTGGTGGGTCATGATGGGACGGTGGATGATGGGACGGGTGGTGGTCATGATGGGACGGGTGGTGGGTCATGATGGGACGGGTGGTGGGTCATGATGGGACGGGTGGTGGGTCATGATGGGACAGGTGGTGGGTCATGATGGGACGGGTGGTGGGTCATGATGGGAATTACTATCTTTATTTCTGTAGCATAACTTACACATACTTTTCACAGTACAATGCCAGCTAAACAAAACACAAGGCAAAATCAAACGAGTTATACACAAAAACGATTGACATCCTTTAGAAATAAATGCTGGTGACACGCGAGCTCTGGGTCTGGATCTCGCACTCAACATTCACGATGACACACCACCAACCCATTCTAAATCTCCACCACCATTAATTGCCAAGGAAAGGTTAAGTTTCATCCTAAAATCACGTCAAGAGTTTGTAATGAGCATCAATGTTAAAATATAGATAATGAGCTCTGAAGTATAATGACCCTCATGACCAATATAACCACCAGCTTAAATTCCGACGTCAAGTTTAATCTGTGCCATGATTTTGTTGAACTAAAAAAACACTACTGTTCATCACTCCCAAAATCCGCTAAAAATAACTGGCACATAGTCCCCCTCCGTCACGGGGCGGCCCATGATGAATTAATCACACTTAAAATAATTTCCCGACCTGCGTACACGGCCGCCCACCAATATACCAGAGGCACAAACACGCGCACATACACCAACAGTTACCCATTCATACACACAAACAACACGTTATGCAATCACACATACTAAAAACATCCAAATGCGCATTTAATACACCTAAAAACTCAAGACACTCAAACAAATGCAAATACACACACACACACAGTCGCACATTAATATACACCAACAAACCGAGACCCATATACAAACACACGCACAGGGACACAAACCTTCCTGGGCACGAAGTGATAACACCTGTCCATGAGAGGGGCGCTACAATAAGGTAGACCAGCAGGAGAGACGAAGGCTGGCAACAGTAGTAACTAGAGGCCTTTGTGAGGTGAGGGACAAAAACCTGTTTCTTATAGCACGGTCGCAGCTGCCGAGATATGACTCGACACACGACACATTATAGGGCTATCAGGTCATTGTATGCACCAGCAAACCAAAGCGTAGTCCGTGACCAACCTACGGTGTTATGATCGCCCACCGTGATGACTGGGCGTAGGTACGTTCATGTGCACTTTATTACCTCCTGCTCTCTTCTTATTTAGATTTACAATACCAGTACGGTACATGATAAACCAAAGCTTTAATGGCACTATGATTAGTTGGGTGACGTGGTGAAAGTCTGTAAAAAGTTCTAACATTATTACCCCTGTTTACTTTGATTGTTTGGTTATTGGTGATTGTTGTGGTAGTGTTCGGAAGTGCTAGTGACCGTCAGGGTGGTGGTAACTTGTAGGTGGTAGACATTGTGTCATGTACAGGTGCGGGCGTGAAGTAGGATACTGAAGGCTGGCTGTTGTGATCACACGAGACAAAATATCTTGAGGGATTATCTCGCGTGAACATCTCCATCTCCTGGTAATAACTTATATCCAACTCGCTAAATATACCAATTGTTCTCCATAACCCAAATTATTGAACATCTGTACTCAAATTTCCTCACTTCATGAGAAAAAATATATCACTAAAGCTCCAGGACAATGGTGAAAACCATTGTCAAAATTGCACCAAAAATCCCGAACTAGACACAAGATGGTCAAAACACATTGAAATCAGGTTGTGGAACCTGGGCCCTCCTTGACCCGTACCACCACTGCTCTCCACCTCTACGCATATTACCTCCCACATCCTGTCAGTATGTGACTTGCCGACATAATCTATGGTCCTTCAGGCACTTATGCCCTTAAATGCAAGTCAATAAGGCGAGCTTCCCTATTGGGCGCTGTAAACGTTTTTGTGCTTCGCCTTGCACAGGATGCAAGAGGGTGCCCAATAAACTAGCCCTCTCGCGAAAAAAGAAACATCCCCTACGCAACATCCTGCATCCCCCTTTCTTCTATCCAGTTGGCCACTACCACACCTTTACTTCACGGGAGCTAGTAATCCTCCCTAACAAAATTTTCAGACGAGCAATGTACCCTTAAGCAACAGTACAAGTGCCTTCGAACAATATAGAGACCTTCATAGACACCTCTTCCAATAATCACCCAAACAGAAGGGAAATCTCATACTATTTCACCAAAAATCCTTACCTAATACACCTAATAGAGGATACCCTTACTTTTACTAGAAACCTCTTAGTCCCTACTGATATAAAAGTATATCGTGAAGATAACAGACGGAAAAACAAGCAAACTAATTAATGTAAAATTATCTTGGTTTTGGTGGCTGTCAGAAGAGCAGTTTTACAACACTACACGGCAGCAGCTAGTAGCCCACTCCCCCTACACAGCAGCAGCTAGTAGCCCACTCCCCCTACACAGCAGCAGCTAGTAGCCCACTCCCCCTACACAGCAGCAGCTAGTAGCCCACTCCCCCTACACAGCAGGAGATAATAACGCTCCCCACTCAACAGCAGCTAATAACCCCCAAACAGCAGAATCCTCCCTTACAGAGCACCTGGAAGTACCGAGCTTGTGAGGACTCTGCTCCGTAATCACGAGAGCAAGGCATGACACGCCGAGCATCCGGGAAGAACACATCACCACCCAGCCCATCTACTACACCAGTCTCTGAAATATCTGAACGCATTCACCCTCACAGTCAAAGTGCAAATTCATTTACTTCACACCCATAAATACATCGGTCGAATGTAAAACTCCAATTCCAGTCATTAGTGTACAACCTTAACCCAACCTTATTAGATCAAATATAAGTACAGTATTCAACCCAGACACCAAAGTACTGCACGGCCCACAAGTTGTTAGGTTTACTGGGACAAGCAAACACGTTAAGGCACGTTATTTAACAAGGGCCATGATGTTCTAACCTTGCAGATGCTCTTGAAGAACACAACTGTGGTTTAGCCACGGAGAACATTAAAATCGATATTAGTTTCTTAACGCACAAGTTCGGTTAAGTGATCATTACTACTACCTGTGTGACCAAGTAGCTAAGACTATACTGTATACCTTAAATACATAAAGTATATGATAACTATTCCTGAACAATAGAGCATTACCTATATACTTGCCGGGATATGAAGTTTTACGTCTGAGAACCTTACCTAACTAAACCTACATCATCTTTTAAACCAACACATAAATGTAAACCAAAGTTCCACCTGCTCCTAAAACACACATTCTGAAGAACAACCAGATGCACACAGAAAATACAGATCTAAAAAGTTAAAATGCAAGACTGCGCACTAAGCCTGTACCTGCACGGCATCACGTCACCTTCAGTAGAATAATTCGTACTTTCTATGATACGCCTCCATCAGTGAGCTACTGTACGTCAAGAAGACTTACTGGTATTATATATCCCAGATACTTATATGACAGACGGAATGAGTGGACAAGTCAGGTAAGAGTAGTGACAGTAGTGACGTTGCCTGAGGGTTGGGAGGGGAAGAGGGGGGATAGGGGGGAGTGGCCGGGGCGTGTCAGGCAGCAGGCCTGCAGGGCTCTACGCCGGCCTCCCCCCCTTTCTCCTCCCACTTCCCCCACACTCAACAATACTCACTGTAAATGGTATCCGTTAAAAAAAAGGTACTACCAAACTAAACATTTTGGAGAGTTTAAATAACTTTTGTTACTTGCTTGTACTTTATGGAGACGGTAGTACTGCAAAAAAGAACGTTTAATATCCTTATAAAGCGGAACGTAAATTGAGAAAACTAACAATGAACAGCATCTGATTTTAGTCCATTCTTAACATTTATCCTATTAATATCATAAACCTTCTTTGAATTGAGTATTGTCTTACGTTAGGATCGTCGACATCAATAACTTGCGATAAAATACTACGCTTCAAGCTAAATAAGACTGCGCGTGTCAGCACCAAAGAAACCCAATTGGTTCTCTTTTGACAATATCCTATAGCCTTTTCACTTGATGTAACCCCCCCACCCCCCCCTGTTGGGTCGTTTTAAGTTTTGCTACTACCTCATAACTTTATATAATGAAATGTGAGAAGATAATTTTGTCGTTACTTAAGAGTAACCTGTATACTGACTTGTTAGCGCTGGGGTGGGTACCTGGAGCAGCAGCCTGGGGAATGCAATATACCGTCAAGCCTCGCACACCCATCTATACTAAACCATAGGGTGAACCAGCCATCAGTGAACTGGACTGGGATTAGACACGGTTATGTGACAGTTAAGCATTACCGGGACAAAGCAGGGAGGTGCTGAGCTCCAGTTAGTAGCTTTCAAGGTGTAATTCATGCCTGACCGTGGGATAACATGTTAGATGTGTGGTAGATAAGCCTCGCACAGGAGTTATCTACGTGCACAGCATAGCAGTGAGAATGTCAGTACTTTTATAAATATGTAACTCACAGGGGTTTATGATGGAGCGCAGGTCGATTCCCCCTGAGCTAGGGGCGTCAGCAGAAGTGTCACACTCCAGGCTTGAGCCACCGTTGGCCTGGATTCCTGATACTGGTGCTTCAGACTCCATTGTAGCAAGTATATCCTCGGTAAACCACCGCACAAGAGGTAAGGAATCACTTTCACACAGAGACACTCCACAACACTCCGTTGTCGCCGACCGTTGAGCGACCAGTGCCTGACATAAAGAGTGAGCGGTCAACTCAAATGGCGCAGTTTAGGTTTCCGCCGACAGAGGGCTGGGGGCCGGGTGGCTGCGCACTGGAGCTGCGCACTTTCAAAATCCATCTTTAGGGCGTCTCTACTAAAATGTCAGACCTTTTCGCCACTTTTACAACAGCTACAGTAAATACTGTAATAAACACCTCTTCATTTTCATGATTATATTTACCTATTAAATGTTAACAATAATAATAATACGTTTCCAAGGCCAAGGACGGTGCTCCAGTGGAACAGAGGACAGGCTCCCGGTGACGTCACACACCAGGGGGAGATGGGCGAGCAGGAGGAATCCTTACCAAGTATATCAGAATGTGCCACCATTGCCAACTTTGCTAACCTAAAGAACCGGCAAATTCTGAAGACAATTCCACCACCGGAAGGTTAACAATGTTACCCAATGCATACTGGAAAATCTGGCATCGTATTCATCACCATGGAAACGTTTGTATGAAGAATGGAGAAACAAGAGCTTCACATATTACTGGCATGAAGGTAGCCAGACGAAGATATTATTTTGATTTAATTAAAAACAATGGAATTTTAGACTGATAAGTATAACAAATTCTGAGAACTGAGTATCATGTAAGTTCCGATATTTCCAATATTTACATAAAAAATATTAGCTTTTGGAATACCGTCCTAAATTATTACTAATTCACAAAATGAATAATTAAATGTTAAAGGGAATACAACGATGTAAGACGAATTATTGGGAATTAAAATCGCATTCGCTTTAACTGGGGACAAAAATATACAATCCGTACTCTTGTTACCATCGCGAATAAGACAACACCGCAAGTTTCACAATCATCCTCTGAAAAGTGGAATAGCTAATCACATAACCAGGAGAAAATAGAAAATAGAAAAATACTGGGCTGTGGCAACGCTTCCTAAACACCCAGGCTCCGGTGACAACGGCAGCCACAACTGTCAAACGTTGCATAATTGAGGTTATCTATGGTTACCAGGACACCTCCAATGACTAAGAAAAGATGCCCAGGAGTGTGTGACCTACACTAGCAACAGCATACTGGGCACTGGCCAAACTTGCCGCCAAAGACACCAGGCACTTGCACTAGGCAACAACAATCACTTCACTTCACTCGCGCACAAGACTCCCAATTCCCTAACTAACCTACTGGTAGGGTGGCCAGACGTAAGGCTTTTGAGCACTGTCCTCCGTCCGGCGCTACCTCGAGCCGGACATTACTTTGTCCTCCCTTTTTGTTGTCTGACTAAAAAGAATTATATAAATTACCTTAGGTATACTTAAAACAGCGGGAACTGAAGGCCATAATAACCGTTAACGTATTTTTATTATATGTAGTTGCCGCAGTGTACGACAGTACGAGTCAAGTTGTCAACACCGTCAACACGTCCAAGATGGTCACTTGGTCAGTCTGCCCAAGGTCGCAGTGGAGAGTGGTTGACTTTTTTGTTCTTGCTTCAATTTGGTTAGCATATGCTGTTTCAGCAGGAGTAAAAATGAATATTCATTTTTTTCAGTTCTTTATTTATACTGTGTGAATGCATGTATGTAATATATACAGTGGATTCCCCCCAAAAATGAAATTTAAGAAAAATTACAAAATAGCATTCATCACATTATACTGTAGTGATATTTGACAAATCAACAATTGTTCTAAGTATATTCTGTATAATCTTTACAACTTGTTTTTATATATTTTCAACTCATTATTAAACACGCTTAATTTAGGTTAAAATATAGGCTTCGCGAAAAAAAATAGAAAAAATTTCCTCCTTTTTGGAAATGACCACCCTACTACTGGTACATACTGCACTCAAAGGGAGCCTCTGTTACCTACCCTAGACAACAGGTGACAACGGTAACCTGCACTAGAGAACAGCAGACAACAGTGACCTACAACACACATTAACCTGCACTAGACAACAACGGATAACAATAACCTAACACTAGACAACAGTAACCTACGCTTGACTACAATGACCAACACTAAAGATAGCAAATACTCAATACACTATCCTCTACTACTACTATTATTATATACCAATATATCCACCAATGCAGATAGACATGGGTATAAATCTATTGGCTAAAAGCGCTAATAGGAAAAAAAGGTATAAGAATGGGAGAAAGAAGAGGAGGCTAAGACAGAGATGAAACTAAACATTAAGTGCTAATTATGATGACTGTTGGGGTGCGGCTCCAGGGTGTCTTGTGCATGGTCGACTTTTCCTGCAAAACCATCCACACGTGATCTCGATTTAGTTTCAACGTATATTTTATTATTATTATTATTATTATTAGTGTTACTTTTATTGTTATTATTATTATTATATTATTATTATTACGGTATTATTATTATTATTATTATTATTATTATTACTATTATTATTGCAGTATTATTATTATTAGTGTTACTTCTATCATTATTATTAATAAAGCTCGCATGAATTACAATTTTCATTAATGTAATTATAATCACTTCGGTAATTATTATCACTATTGTACGATATTCCTCAAAACTCGCAAGAATTTTTGTATTTACATGATCTTAACTCGTATCTGAAAACTACCGAGAAACTACAATTTACAAAACCAACATTAATATCGAATTATCCTACTCTTTAATACTGTACGCAGACTTTTTTTTCAACATTTTGCCCTTCTAAATATCAACGTACAATGGCTGTAAATCTTTCGTAACTACAATTCAAATAGAGACTAAATATGTATCGGTATTCTATGAGGATTATAATTAGGCTATACTAACTATAGTAAATCGCTGTTTACCCGCCATGTCAGGGGTTGTTTTAACGAATGAAAGTCCTAAACCAAACCCACGACAAATAATCCAACAAAAATTCAACCACTCCTAATTTTAACCTCACCCTAACCTAACAAAACCAAACCAAATATAACATTACCGAACCAAACCTAATCTAACTTAATTTCTGATATTAAAAAATGTGTCCCCGATAAATTTTCCTAACTAAATTTGTAACTACTTTTCCGGTGTCATGGTTTATCTGCTAGCCCAATCCAAAACATCCTCTTCACCAAGACACCACTGTGCATGCATCAATTTCCATATAAGCTTCCGCCCAGACTAGTTGCTCCTTTTTCGTGCAGTTTCATCACGAAGGGCAAGAAGCATCTGATATTGTATATACTGTAACATATTTGGATAAAAGTAATTTCTGATAAAGAAATATTAACTCGCCGATATACTTGAAATCAGCGTTGCGTCAGTTATTGGCCACGGGCACCACCCCCACCCTTACCACGTAACCAACTTTATTGTCTCAGAGTAATCCCCACAATTCTCTCATTCTGCAACACACACACACACACACACACCTGAATTTTCACTTGACTAAAGTCTGCCAAGTATGTTGATCTTCTTGAGCTCCGAAAAGTTCCTTGTGTTTCGTTGAGTTACTCATTTCTTCCTCTTTACCTTCATCTACCGTGAATATCTTGTCTCTCTCCTCCTCAGTATTCTATTCATTTATCCCTGTTCTCTTGTTTATTATCTTCCTCTCCCTCCTAGTTATTATCTACTTCCGTCTGCTGTCTTTATTCAACATCATGTTATCTCCTACTGCGCCTACCTCTTCTATTTACTCTATTCCAGTATATTTACACCCCACCTCCTCCTCCTCCTCCCGTCTTCCCGCCACACAGTTTCCCCGCATCACCTTCACTTGTTTGTACCCGTCACCCTCACCCTCCCTGCAAACTTAAGTTTCTCGCCGGAAGTTGTGGCATCCGACAGGTGTGAATTCCTTGTTCCCACCAACTTGTAGCTCATGTCCCCCCCCTCACACACACACATACAACCAGTTTACGTAAATTGAAGCTGAAAATCATTTCTACAAAAACGTCCAGAAACAATAACATTACGCATTAAGCTCACTTTAATCTAAATACAAGACTCAAAATATTGGAACTCAGTCCGCTACACAATACGAAAAAATCCAACTGTTTCAGCCGCACAGAACAGAAAGGCGTAGGTAAATGTGTTAATCTCGTGTAATTCAAGAGGACTCTACAACAGGTGATCTCTGGGACCTTTTTTTTTCTACAACAAAGTAACGTAAAATTCCTACACCCGATCATCCCTAAATAATGTATATGTTTACATTGTTAGATAACTAATAATTTAAATGTCTAATGTTGTAAATATCATTCACCAAGACTTAGATCTTTTAAATCAATGTTCGAAAATATAGTAAAATATCCTTTACTATTAATTTTAATTGTATTGACTTTGTGCTGTTCCAAGGTGATATTTTCTGGAGAGAGAAATTTACAAATAACAAGACAGCTTTGAAAAAAAACGTAATGTTTTCAGGTACGTGAGTGGCAGCACAAGTCATCGTCTCCTTGAAGGAGTGGACAGGGATCCCGTTATAAGTAGCCAACGTGGATGAACATTACTAATGTCTTCACTTACATTACAGTTACTTGAATCCTGACGCTGATAGAAGGTAACTCCGGTACTTCTATGATCCAATTGACAGCATTCTGCACCCAAACAATTAAAATCTAAAATATATAAAAAATCTTCTGAGTATTTTTATAAGCTAAGTTTTCGCATACATAAACACCAAGTCAACGTGCAACCCTTCATTTATTTCTGGGGATACCTTCCAACGCAATCTACTTCTGCCTCCATTACAGTATTTGGATCACCTGAAGACTTGCTCCCTCCACCTTATTTCACCTGATGATTAAACACCCTAACACTACCTGGGGGGATTAAGTTTTATGTTCTTTAACCATTACGTGAAATAAGCTGGGTGTGTGGGGATTTTTAGGTTATTCCAGAATTTTGTTTGTTCCCTTTTCTTCGACTTTGCTACAAAAAAATCTGAATTTACTATTTTATAATAATTCTATGATGACCACACCCGCCCATGCCAATTTTAAGTATAAAAGTTCATTCTTAAATTAACAATACAACAACAACCAGGAAAAATAAATTAAAAAAATATCCACAAT